TCCTCTTCTTGTTTATGATTTTTTGAAGATTCTTGGGCTCATGAACTTGGTCTAGCTTGCGGCTAGATCATGTGGAACAAGGCAACAACAACGACATGTTCTTCACGGTGGGACTGGAAAATGTAACTAAAAATTCGCAATATGAGGCCATTTTACTCAGGAACTCTGATACCAGAGTACAGGAGCGTCAGTGCAGGAATTTTGACTGCAAGAAACATGCAGGAATATAAAATCTGAAACTTCAGGAATTTTCAAGGTGAGAATGAATAGGTTCACCAACATAATCGTCAGTTATTCACGAATCCAGCCAAAAAGATGCTCAACTGAGCATTTTTCTCGCCATTGCTTCGACTTAAATAGCTTATAAATAATAGACATTAATGTTTTAGCGCCTCGCAATAGGAAATTCGAAATTTATGTTGTTGTTGTTGCTTATCCTCGAAAGATCTGACGTATGTCAGATCAGCTCCAGAAGGTTGTTAACCGCCAAAAAATCAATAACAGTGAAGCGATCGGATGTAAAGTCCTCGTCCGATGCAACCCGGTATGTGATCCGATGAAGCTGGATGATCACAGCATTTTTTGCAAGCGGAGGTTGATATTTCTGCCTCTATCAAAGGAAAGACATTTAAGGTGGCCACTTGCTAGTCTAGCCAGAGCAGTCTGGGAACCACGGTCACATTTGATTTCCAGTAGGGAGCCAGAGGATGTTTCTGTGTACCATTGGTGCGTAGGTGGAATACGCCATATTATATTTAGATCTTTCATTTGAGTCAAGTTCTTTGTAAGTAAGTGAGGAGCTAGTGACCGTTTCATTTTCACTACCCTCTTTTGTCAGTTTATTAGCGACCTCATTACCACTAATATTAACATGTGATGGGATCCACTGGAAGTGGACGTCATGTGTCTGAGAGAGATCTTCCTCAGTTTGGGTAGAATAGATATGCTGGTGTCATCGTTTGCGGACGAACAGCCGCCAAGATGTTGTATTGCACTTCTGCTGTCCGATAAAATCCATAGTTCCCCCAAATCACAATCATAAGCCAAGATAGCATCAAGACCCACTTTAATCGCAATTAACTCGTTCCTAAAGATAGAGCAAGTGCCAGGGTTAGGTTGCTTTATCGTAGTTTCAAAGTGAGGGGTCTTAATAAAGATACCGTTGCCAGTACGATCTTTTGTACGACTATCATCAGTATAAACCTGCGCTGCATCTTTAGAAATGCAACTAATAATTTCCAGAGCCATTTGCCTAAGAGGGTGTTCATCGTGAGTTTGCTTGTTTGTAGTGATTTCAGATTAAGGTGGAAGAAAACTCTGGCTAGTCCCACTGATTGATCCCATAAAGAATCATAGAGATAGAGGTACAACCTCCCGAGAGATCAGGTTCTGAGTTTCTGCCAAGCTAAAAGGGGTGTATTTCTTAAGTCTTTGATTGTTGTGCCAAGGAAATTTATGTTTCTAGCATTTGTGTGCTATTGGTTTTGTTTTCCAAACAGAAAAAAATACTGACTATAATATTAGATTCTTGGAAGTGTTCTGGCAGTTTCAGATTCTGGCTAAAATTTCTTCACAAGTATGTTCTCGAATTAATTTTTGCAAGTGTCATGGAGAGACGGAAACTGCACAAACGCATTTACGTTAACTGCATCTTTTAAATTACACTTACGATGTAGTTTTGAGTAAGTTCATTTATCGCGGCTGTGTACTGTGCATCTTCAAACCATTATAGTGTTAGATTATTTGGATTATGGCAAAACACACGAGGGCTTTCTGTCTAAGAGAAAGAAGTCGTTATGTAGGCATTGAGGAAAACTGGCTCATATTTCCGTTACACGCGGTGCAAAACAACGAACGTACTAATGCGGCCAACAGGTTACCTGGAATTTCAATATAGCTCCAATTATCAGTCTTCAATCATACCACCGCTAAGCTGGTGTTATGCCCAAACCTTTATTGAATCGAGTCATCAAATTGATATAGCATTCGAAGAAGGGTTGCTCTAGGAAAATGCAATACAAGATTCATGTACTTCCCTAATGGAATTATCGAGCTGGGCAAGCAGGTCCTTTCAGGACCGCATACGATTGTGGATCGTAGCAGATCCATTTATAATACGGCACGGGTTTGAAAATGATATTAGAGATGTATAAATGTTTAGTTAACAAAGTCAAGGTAAAAGAGCAGCTGGGAGACTTCCTCGCTTCTATATCACCATAGTTCCACAGGGACAGGATCCAAAATCTTTTTAAATATTGATAGATGATCATCAATGCGAAGATTTCTATTTTTTATAATAGCGCCTTTTAAATAGGAGCTAAATGTTCGTGGTAGACTTCCAAAAAAAAAAAAAAAATCTAGATCTTTTCCAGCTGCTCATAGTGATCTTAACAGCTATCAAATAGTATTTCAATTGAGGAAAATAAAGAACATTTAAAATTTTAATTCACGTGTTGTTTATTGCCTGTCTAGGGTTTATAGAATTTAATGATATGTTGGAATGGTAATCTTCATGTACATTAACATCTTTCTATCCGGATTCTAACTTATCTTCTTTGCTACATTGCAAAACTCCATACTTAATCATTTCGTAGTATCGAAATGTTTCATGTTTTCTTCAATCCATTAAGATCTCTTAGACGATGAGAGGAATGATATTCTTCAATTATAATTGCACCTAGAATGAAAATTAGGAATAAATAGAAGTAATCACTTAGAATGAAAATTAGGAATAAATAGAAGTAATCACGGGAATAAAGGAATGTGAAATTATGCAGATGGTCAGCTATAAATTAGCACAGGCTTTTCCAAGAATACTGATTTTGAAGGTGATTCACTGTTCTTCAAAGGTCACTTTGATAAGGTTGATATGTAAAAAAAAAAAAAAATAAAATAAAAAAATAAATAAATAAAAATAAAAAATAAAAATCTGAAATTTTTCAGATTTTAAATTTCGTCCAAAGGGGCGTTTTTTTAACGTTTTGAGTGTTAACGTTTTGGTGTGTTTTGAGTGTTTATTAAATATCATGTTCTTTGCACTTGATCTTTGTTCTTGCACGCTCGGCGCTTATTCGTGAAATCCAGGTTCGATTCCCGGTGAGGGCATTGCTCATGTCTCCTGTTTCAAAAAATCCTGAGGATTCTACCACCTTTTGTGTCTTAATTCTATTTATCAAATACCACGTTCTTTGCACTTACGCCACATGAAATTCGACTTGACACTAAATCACAAAATAATTAAAACCAGCATAACTTTAGAATTCCCAATAGATTGTTAGAGGTTGGCATACATATTTTTATATTCGCTATATTATTTCTTTAAATAAAATACACGGCGAAAACCTTAGATGGCGACATCCTATTATTTAAAAAGAACAAAATGTGAAGATCGAGACAGATTAATAGCGCTTCTGGTACTTAAAAAAAAGAAAAAAAAAAAAAAAAAGCACCAACAAGGAAGCAGTGTACCTGAATGAAATCAAGGTTATATTTTTTCGCCGTTAGGTATGTAATAATTTAAATTTGATGCTCATCTGTTCATAGCAAGGGCGAAGTTCACCGCCATACCTACCACATTTTAAATGGTGCCGGAACTGCTTAATTCTTATTTTCAATAGTGTAGTTACGTTAAAACCATCCATATAAAATGTAATATACCTATGACATGAACTTAATAAATAGAAATTTGATGGGCCCTTTTCAAAAGGTTTGCGATCGTGGAGCTGCCATGAAGGTGGATGTTTAATTTCGTCATACTGTATGCTCTATTGGACGCGAAAGGTTGCTCAGTGCATTATATTCGGATATGTATGCAATGACGATAATTCCATAGGCAAACAATAGAAGAACCAAAAGTACATCTAACTTACTCGAACCCTTCCATCTGCCATTATGTTCCGGGCATAATGATCGCTTTCCTATAGCATCTTGTGAGTGCAATTACCATTAGCAGACCACTGCATATCGTTGGATTACAGGAATGTAGACCGTTATGACCATTACTTGTCACACCACAGCAGGATCATCATAGAATGCAGTGGTGTTGCAAGAACACATCACGAATGCACGCTAGATGGCAGTGGATAATTTTAAGTGATGAGGGCTGCCTTTGCCTTGGTGGGGATGACCAATGCATCCGAGAGTCAGTTTGAAAGTTTTGTCTTTACGCGATACATTCATACGGCTGGGTGCCATGGCATGAGTGCGATTTTATATGATGCCCGGTCAACGTTGGTTTTCATCACAGCTATTTTGACACTCCAATGATGTGTGATGAATTCCTTCGACCAGTGGCCTTGCTATCACCGTTAGTCTTCATAATTGACACTTTGGCAGCCCAATGATACGCTGTGATTCGATCAGTGGCCTGTCCTTCTGGGAACGCTTGCCTCTGTGCTCCATTCTCTACTGGGGTCTCAAGAGCTTACCTTGCAACCACTAACTATTTATTGTAGCCATGCATAAGTCCAGACTTCCCAATAGGAAACCTCTGGAATGTTGCAGGTTGCTCTCTTGAGACTCCACCATGCCACAAAATCTGCAAGATAAGATAGAATCTAGTTTGCATGAGATGAGATGATGCAGAATTATGTTCAGGGATCTCTGCAGTTACATGCTACAACGCGCGGCAACATGTATTGCAAACAAGGCTTCCTAAAGTTGTGCAATAAATCGTCAATTCTCGTTTCGTCAATTGCTCGTCAATTCTCGTTTCTTTGTCATGCATTGCAGACAGCAGCTGGCATGGAATCAAATTTGCGCTGAAAATATTTCTAACATTCTTATATCACAAACTAAGAGTTTAAAAATTGCTCTGATTTGTAAATGTTCGTTATATTCCATTAGTGATTCTAAATATATAAGTATTCTAACGCATGGACACATTTAGAAAGCGGAAACTTTGTTTTAATTAGTATTCATTTTCTGGAGGTATTTGCCATGAAGGAACTCTGTTCTATTTCATGCTCACCCAATAACTGTTTCTTCTTTAATATTTTTAGTAACCCTAATGAGAGCTGAGAAAACTGTACAGATGTTTCCAAAAGTTCGGGGAGTTAAAGATATCTTCAGCATCGATTCTCTCCTGTAATTAAGGTATGAATTTTTTTTTTTTCGTTTTCCTTTATCACGCATTGAATAATTTCTTTACTTTTTTTATTTTGACGGTATCAAATCGTTAATTTTTTCTCCTTCGATTAAATTAGTATGGGTAAACGATTAAGCTTCATGTCTCCCTTCTATCCCCTTACCAGAGATCGTTTCTTTAAACTATGGTATTTATACGTAGTTTTTTTTCCCCCTTAAGAATCCATCGCTTTTATTTTTATCTTTATATATGCAGCGATTATTTCTATAATTCCGATATGTCTTATTATAGACATATACGGATTATTGGGAGAATGTACTTTTTCTAGAAAATTTTAACCATTTTTAAATGTCCCAATTAGTACTGGTGGCAGATTGCATAAATGCTCCAAAAAATAAGTATTAATTGTTTTTAAGTTTCCCAGTAAGATGGAAACAAAATTCTCTTGGAATAATTTTACTTGCAATATATTTTACCCTTTATTTTTCATATTTTAATCTAGGTATATAATTTGTTTTGCCATATTTTGCTATGGTTAGCAATTCAACATATATATAATAATAGAGTATAACGTTTTTACTTCCTTGTACCAAGTATTGTAATCGCAAAAAAATCCGGTATCATATTTCAGCGAAAATATCTATTTTGACCGCACTCGAATGCATTTGAGCGATTTATTGCATGAAATCTGTACGTATGGACAGAATAAAGGACTCTTTTTCCCAAAACAGATTGTAAAATGGAATCAGAATATAATTTTTTCGTGACGTCTGTACGTATATAAATTTTGTATATATCTCGCATAACTCAAAAACGAGTAGCTTCGGAACATCGAAATTCTATGTAGGACTGCTATAACATGTAGTTAAGCACCTCCCTTTTTGGTTGCAATCAGCTGCACCAAAAATACGTAACTATGTATCTGTATATACATATATAATATATATATATATATATATATCCACTTTGTTACCTGGCTCAGTGAGGTAAATTTTTACTTCCTTCTACAAAGTAAAAAGGAAGTATTGTAATAGCGGAAAGTTTCAGGTAGCATATTTCAACGAAAATATCCATTTTGACCGCTATCGAATGCAATTTAACGATGTTTTAGCGTCATATCTGTACGTAAGGACAGAATAAAAGACTCGTTTCCTCCAAAAAAATTATAAAACTGCTTTAAAATTAATTCTGAAGAGAATTTTTCGTGGCGTCTGTACGAACGTATGTACGTATCTCGCATAAATTAAAAACGGGTAGCCTCAGAACGTTGAAATTTTGTATATATGACTGCTATAACATGTAGATGTGCACCTCGTATTTTGGTTTACATTATTTTTATATACGCACCAAACGTATATAAATATATTTATATATATATCCCCTTTGTTACCCGGCTCAGTGATCTCAGTTTCTTTACTCTGATATGTTTGTAAATTGTACATTTTTTGCTTTAAAAATGATTGAATTATGTTGTTTTTATCTTCCGGTTAAGGTTTTTATGCCTTTAGTAAATCTGTGTGCAATATTTTTAGAATTATCAACAATTTTAAAGTTGTTTAAGTGTCGCTAAGCCTTTTGTTTTGACGGCGACCATTGATTGTTTACATTTGAAACAGCAGACTAGTGGATTTGTTGCCAATCTAGAATAACTTAGCTTCGCAACAACAAAGATAACGCCTTCATTTATTATTGCCAATTAAATCATGCTTAATCCTTTCTGGAATATCTATATTAAAATTTATAAATATCTGTATTAAAATTTACTTCGTAATTTTTAATATAGATATTTTGAGTTTTTAATGCATTTTTGCCTTCTCGAGAAGTGAGAACTGAATTAATTGAATGAGAAATACTCAATCGTCTGTGAAAAACTGTTTCTTTTTTGTTTTGTTTGCTTAATTTCTTTTATAGATCATTCTAGCTTTATTATAGTATTTCAATAGAACATGTGGCAACGATTAGATAATTATATTCTTTAAATGATATAAATTTTGTGCATTATGATTTATAATATGAACGAAATATAATACTGTTAAGTGAATCTAGCGCCAGAATGTCGCTATGGTAAACAAACACTGAGTGAATTTTAAAGAATGCATTTATTCTATTATGGTTTATAGGCAGATAGCCCTCGAGGCTTTGCCGTAATTAAAATAACCTAACCTAACCTAACCTATTGTGGTTTATGCGCTGTCGGCGAAGTAGATTTAATTCAATCCAATAAGTTTAAATGAAATGCAAGAAAAAATGCGTATAATTTAACATTCCGTACAAGGAAGTCATGTGGTGTACACATCAGATTTTTTATTCTTACATGTTAATAAATTGTGCGTTTTTTGCTTTAAAAGTGATTGAATTATGTTGTCCTTATGTTCGGGTTAAGGTTTTTTTCATACCTTTAGTTAATCTGAATGCAAGTTGTAGAATTATCAACAATTTAAACGTTTAAGTGATGCAAATAAATCTAACGAAGCCATCATTTATTTACATTTGAAGCTTTTACCAGAATAGAGGATGCAGTCAATTTCTGCACTTTCAGTGTCTTTTTGCCGAGTGGGACCAAAAATAAACTTTCAGTTTTGTACATAAAAAAATATGCCTTCTTGTTGTCGGTAGCAAGATTGCTTGGTTTTGCGTAGAAACTCTCATTTTAATTGTAAAAGTTGTGTTTTTTTAACTATATTTAGAGTTTTCTACTCTTAATCGCAAAAACTGTTTTTTTAACTGTATTTGTTTTTTTTAACTGTATTTCTGTTTTTTTAACTGTATTTGTTTTTTTAACTGTATTTCTGTTTTTTTTAACTGTATTTGTTTTTTTTTTTTATGTTTTTCTGTACTTAGCAATTTTTAAGTTTTTATGTATTTTTGTCTTGTCGCAATTTGAAAACTGAATTAATTGAATGAGATATATGTCGGTAATGAATTTCGGGGAAATAAGTTTCAATGAAATTCAGCAATAAAATACGGATAATTTAATAAGCCTTACGAGGAAATCATGTGGTGTCCGCATTACTTTTTTTTTATTTATTTTCATAAATTTTAGTATGCAATTTAAAATTTGAATTTTTAAAATTCCATTGCAATATAGTGTATGACTTTTATTGCATGATACTTTTAAAAGGGAATTTTTAATTCTCTCGAGGTACAAAGGCTTAAAACACATGTAAATTTAAATCACAATCGGTTTTATTTTTTTTTTTTTTTCCAAAATTTAACAAATGTAGAAAAATGAACATAAAAGCGAATTTTCGAAAGATTTAGCGAATTCCTCTTAATTTTTATTTATTTTTAAACCTGATTGTCTAAACTTAAGTAATGAAGGCTGTGAAACGGATTAAAAAGTGGCAAATAGCTGTTCACATTCAGCGAGTCAGGAAAAAAGCGATTTCGTTCACAGTTTATTAGGAATAGATTTGGGGGTTACCATACCATTGATTATGAAAAGAGACGCACCGAAATTTGGAGCCGTAAGGCATTCCATAGATGCTCAATCTGATTTAAGTCGGGTGAGTAAGGTGGCGAATCCATTCGAGTGGTATTTTCTGTTTAAAAACATTCTGATGCCTCATATGTTCCATGAAGTAGAGCAAAAAATATTGGCCAACAGCGCTCCTAATCTATGTAACTTGGAGTTCCAGTACCTTGTCCACATATCTACGAACCGTTACAGAACCTCTTTGAAAGTTATGCAGCTCGGTGTCATTTGTCGTGATTCCTCCCAACCACGGTCGCGGAAACTGGATATTTCACGGACAGGAGAAGGCGAGTTGCGTGTTTAAAACTGTTAGCGTAAATTTAGGTATTTTGCATAATGAAACTCGAAAGCCATACGAAACGAACGTGCGCCAAGATTGGCGAGAGAAAGTAAAGTTCGTGTGCAATGCAGTATATTCGATTTTCACCCTAGCTACTTGTACTTGGGCCAAAGGTCAAATCCTGTAGTAATTTCTCTTTTTCAGGTACGGTGTTAAAGTGTGTTGCTGTTTTTTTTTTTTTATTTGCCTAAAATAGGTAAGCCTGATATTTAGGACTGATGTTGATTCTCTGTAAGTTATTCTTTTCAATACTTCAGTGTTTTAATGTCCGTCAAGATTATTACTTTATTGTTATGCTTAAGTTAAGCAGAATTATTCTATTTTATTAAATAAAGATTTCGTAGTTAAACTTTTTGACTTATGATTCTTTAATTCTGTGCTTGTGGAAACGTACTCATTACGCCTTCAGTGGTAATGCACAACCAACAAAAACACCTTTCGAATCACTGTTCAGACTATATCTGGACTCGTCACTAAACAAAACTCTGGCCCAGTCTTCTTGGCTTCATTGAACATGACCACGGGACCATTTTAAACGGGCCCCTCTGGAAGCTGGAGTGAGTGGGACACAAATCATTGCTTTTTTCGCATACAGTCCCACCTCATGCAGCAGCAGAACGGCTAATTCGAGTTCCTGTGGCAGCTTGAAGGTCTTGCAGCCGCTTCTCGGTTTCTTCGAACTGACAACGACAACAAACGTTTTTTTCTGATGCAGTTGTTGCTTTTGGTCGCCCCTCATCAAGCTGTCTGTCAACTGATCAAGGCTTAAAAAGCGGCTCCGAACTCTTAATATGATACTTTGAGGGATATTGATGTCTTGGGCGATCTCCATTAGTGTTTGACCTCCCTGGAGTTTACCAATTATTCGCCACTTTTGACCTTCACTTAAATGATGCCTTTGAGCCCTAACTACTGAATACTTATCACTCTCAGAAACCAAATTCAATTTTAACTACATTACAGACCAGAATTGCAATATGCGCATTGCACACCACATTGTCAATCATTGAATCTGCATATTTCCGTGCGTAACGTATGTGCAGAAGTGTAATTTTGTGTTCTTTTGCAGCCTTGAATTTTGATAACCAGTGTAAAATAAATTTGGTTAATGATGATTGTGGAACAATATCAGTTAACCACTGGTAAAGACCAGGTGTTCTCATTCATCGAAACTCAGTTGAGCTAATGATCTT